AGTAAGTCAGTGCAAGTCAACTTTAGCATTTTAGCTCATTTTAACTTGTTTGCACACTAAATGGTGTAGGTCAACATGCATAAGTCAACATGTTAGTTATAAACCACATCTTACTGGTAGCATCAACATCCTAGTCACGTGATATGGTAGTGTTAGCCCTCATGCTAACAATAGCATTGTACTTAAAATAAGCATTTCAACTGACTTCAGATTCATTTGCTATATTTGTCATACTCATTGTATTAAGTCAATGTAAATCAGGATCCTGGTGATACCACACATGCTTCTGATAGAATTTAAGCTTTAGTATTATATAAACATTAATGGTTTATACATTAATGTCATACTAAATTGAATAAATCCATGACAGCCAACATAATAATAATAATACTCCATATTCTACTGACTACATTTTAGTTCACCTTATGCGAGAGACACCAAATTTATTACAGTCAGATCACATAGTTGTTACTGTTTGTGTATATTACTGTACACAGGTACCCCAGCCAATTGTTTTGTTTATCATAATAAGTTAAGTTTTCATTGTAGTTTGTTTGTAGTTTCAGAACCTGGTTTTTCTTTTTTTTGTCTCTATCTTCTGTCTTAATTCACAGTACTGATATTTCTGAGATGTCATTGAATGCTTCTGCTTACACACCTTCCATCAAAACATTATGTTCAAACCTACACCCATTCTTTGATTGATACCTTTTAAATGTTTTCAGAAATGTTCTAATTAGTGAAGCTAAAATGGTGCCAAAGATATTTGCTATGCCAAGTTTATTGGGTGGAGACTCCTTTTTTGGAGAACGCTGTTTAACCTGCCACAACCTGTCTTTTCTAATGCAATGCAATTCAAGATACTTCGCTCACAGACATTTGTCTTTGAGCAGTATGACACGACACCTAAACAACGGAATGCTTTAAATTGAAAACCACAGATTTTCTATAATAGCAAGCTCTAAATCAACCAACATAAAACAGCATTGATTCAAAAAGTGTCAGTTTTTCTCTTTAAAATATTGTTTCTTGGGGCATATGTGCATGCACATATAAGCAACATATAATTATTTATGTGTGTCTTAGTGACTTTGCAGGTGTTTCATAGTCTTTTCATTTTTTGATGATTCATATAAACTTTTCTGAAATCAGCACAGGCACATGACCCTATTTACAAGTATCAGAGTAAGGAAGTAGTGAATATATAAAGTATCCACATCAGACTTCAGATTTTTATTTGTAAAATATTTCCTTCTACTTAAGAACTAGGCATTATTTCGTGTTGGTCTTAAAACACAGTCAAAATTCAATTAAAATTCTTTGAAGTTTCAGTTTGTAATATTACACAATGTTTTTTTGTTTTTATTTAAAAAAAACAAAGTTTTGTGAGGCAGCAGAAATTTGTGCTTGACTCAGCGTAGTAAATGTGCACATGAAGCCTCTTGCAGTTTTTCTTTAGCTAAAGCATCACTAATTTCATTGTTCCAGGAACTCTTGGACCGGTATCATGGAATAAGTTTGCTCAGTCACTAGGATCACGTTGAAGAGCAAAGCTTAGCAGATTAGTTTAGCTTCCGCGTTGAGAGAGATGTTGCTCCATGATTTCATAAATCTTAAATACGACAGGTTTATGATGTCAGTAAGACAATGAAAGTATAAATTCATAAAGTTAAGTAATTATTAAAAACCATGTCTGTATCTAACATCAGGCGCAAGGGAATATCTGCAGATTAGAGGAATTACAAAATGTTTATTGGTTACATGGTAACAAGTGTTTTTTCTGTCTTTTTTCCCCCCTCTTGATAGCAGTTGTACTCCAACAAGAACAACATGAACCTGAAATCTCTATCTTTTCAAATTGTAATACCGTTACAAACACTGGTAATTGATAGTTCTTTAGCGAAAGCTTTGTCACATTGGATATTATTTGGTAAAACAAATGCAAGGTTCTGAGCTACACTAAAAAGGAAAATGAGCTGTAATTAAGTAATTATTTGCTTGTAGTTGCTTCCACATGAGTTACTGTGATTATTTTATAAAGTGCCTCAAGGCAACTTGTTCCGATTTCTTGTCATATAAATTAACTGAAGTGAACTGAAAAAAAATTAAATAAATAAAATAAAATAAAATAAAATAAAAACTAATCAAACTGGAGAGGTACAGAATTTGTAGATCAGAGATGTACAAGCTTATACAGGCATATACTAAGACAGCTGCATTCCCTATTACCTAACTCTGCTTTTGCTAAGAGACTGAAAACAACTGTGTTGGAACTGAGCTCCTGTAACGAACTTATACTGTTTATGAAAGTAGAATGGTGCCCCCTTGTGGAATTGCTTTTCCTTTGCTTTCCTATAAAGCCTTCAGCAAATCCAACATAAAAGATATCATCAAAATATGTTTTTTATTTAAAAGAAAATTGAGTTTTATGCACATTTAGCATTATTTTTAGGGGTAGGTATGGGCAGGGCAATGCCAATTACTGAAATAAATGTAAAATAATGTAATAAATACTTTATAATTTATGACCATTTCTGTTCGATTTTAACGTCTATCAGTGTGTCGAGGAAAGTTTAATCTTTATTTCTTGGCACACAAGCCCATTCCACCGAACCACTCTTCAAAATACGGAAAACAGGAGAAAATCCAAAGACACCTAAGTTTGAGTACGTGCCTGAAAACGGCAGCAAAAAAACTATCTGCCAGAGTACATGCCTATATCTACAGAAATAACTCCATCGTTGAAAACCACTGCAACTGTAAAAAATAAAACTCAAATTATCTGGCCACAGTGTTCAGTGACCAGGATGGTTGGAGAGAAAAAAAACATGCAGTTCTTCACTGTGTGAGGACTTCTGTGAAACATTGTGTCACAGCGTCTTAAAGTCTCCCTTAAGGGTATTGTGACATTCTAAAAACTCTTCATAATTCTCCCTTTATTGCTCAGAGCTCACTTACCCTCAACAATTTCTTCCATTTCTGTAACTTTCCATCCAGCCTGCCTGCAGCATTTTGACCCTTGCTCTCATGCTGTTCTTCAGGTTTGTTATTGCAGCCTACAGTGTTTGTAAGTTTCCTTGTAAATTTAAGACTCATTCCCACTAACCAAATCTCTGTGTTTTCACTAACTAACCTGAACCCTTCATCCACCGCAGGAAGTTCACCTGAATTGTATTTGAAATGCTATACCTTCAATGTTTCGGGCCGGTTTGCTTACCTATGGTTGAATAAAAAACTTTGTTTTAATAATATGTTTAATATGCTGCCAAGCTAAATTAACTCCCTATTAACTTCCTTTTGAGATTTCATCGAGTGGACACACTGGTGTCTGTAGTTGCCTAAACCAACAGTGTTTTGAACCCAAAACTATGTCAAATCATCTAAGAAAAATAATTTATTTAAGTTGGAAAACAAAATTTACATTCAAACATAAAAGACAAGAGTGCAGTTTTTCCAAGTACCCTTTTCTGCAATTAGTTTTAGACACGAGCTTCCTACAGAAAACAAATCACTGCTTAAATCAAGCTTCAGTCTCATTGTGTTTTGGACAATTTTGTCAGATGCAAATATTCATGTGATTTCTTTTCATGACTTAGCCAGGAGATGGCAGTGGATCATAGAGGCTGCATAATGTGCATTGCAGGGCCAGCGCATCTTTAAAAGTTGCTAATAAATGTTAGCAAGATGAGGGCCATGCATGTGTAGGATGTTGCTGTTTTTAGCATTTCTTTTGATGTAAGTAGAGTTAATGAAAGTCAATAGTGTTTTAGCAGTGCCTTGCAAATGAATGTATGCCCCTTGAATTTTTTCATGTCCCATAGGTACCATGCATTTTATTTGATGAACCAACACACTGTAGTGCAGAAATGGAAAGTAGAAAGTTTTTGTTTTGTCTTATAACTAGACATTTTATCATAATAAAGTCCAACACAGTCATACAAAATAAACAAAGCCAGTTTGTGTATAATCTAAGTATAATATTAATAAAATCATGATGTGAAGACCTTGAGGGTTATTAGGTGGCATTAGAGATTTAACAGCATCTTATAGACCAGGAATCCTCAAATCCAGGTCTTGAGGGCCAGAGTCCTTCAACTTGTAGATGTGTTCCTTGTTCAACATCTGAATCCAATGGATGAATTACTTTCTCAGTACAAAGTGGGCAAATTGCTAAAGTGGATGGACTTAAATCTCTCAGGGGCTGGTTCACATTCCACAACTATAACACTAAACACACAGACAGAGCTACTATAAAATTGTTTAGAATGGCTAAGTCAAAGTCCAGATCTCAATCCCATTGAGGCATTTTGAGATTTAACTTGATAATGCCAAGTCCAAACTGACTTGTCTTGAACTATTTAGCCTAGTTTAGCTGTCATACAATTCAGCGCTGAGATGCATAAAGCCAGTACAGACATACACCAGTGTGTGGCAACAAACCACATTCTGACAACAGACACAACACTGGTAAACAGATGACCTGTAAAGGGTGTGCACTGGCCTCTTAGTCAATGACGTCTGAGTTGGGCTCCAACAAACATGCGGCTCTGAACAAGATGAAGCAGGTTTGGAGGATCTGACCTTTAACAGGGGGGGCATTTCATATCAACACCCCTGTTTTTAACTCCACAATGTGATGAGACTTAGACCAATTTTTGTTAGATAACTTTGAAGCGCGTTTTCATATACTTTAAAAACCCTCTACTAATCACTTCAAATACTTGGATATGACACTGATTGTTGTGCAAGACTGCTGACGTGCTAACGGGGAGAAAGTTCGCTGTAATCTGGGACATTAGTCAAAAGGCTCAAGTAATTTCCAACAAATGTCACCCTTTGCAGTTCATTTCTCACATACTTTAGCTTAAACAATAACTTTAAGAAAAACCCTTGATTGACTAATGTTTCTTCCCCAAAAGGTAGAATGGAAATTCAGTTAACATTCAAATTACATTCTCTAAATATAAGACACAAAGAAAATGCCAGTGTAGAACATGTAATAAAGTTAAACTTTTATTGCAAACCAAACATGGTCACATAAACAATTTTACAATTTACAGTACATTAAACATGAATAGTTACATATACATATTAAAGCATACCTTGGGTCAATTTCTTGTTCAATATACATTAAAACTAGTACACATGACTCCAAATATACAAGAAACTTAAATACCATCAAAAATGCATTACAGCAATATTAAAGTGGAATGTTCAGTTTGAATGTTTATGAGCCTGTCTGCAGGCCGTTGTTACTTCAGTGTGAGGCAATTTGGAAGACTAAATGAGGGGGGACGTGGCTGGCAAGCTAAAAGTACGGGAGGAATACTCCTCGACACATGCTGCTCATTCTCAGCCCAGCAGCAGTGCTCTCTTTTCACCTCTCCATCAGTAATGTGCAAATGAAGGTATGAAACATCATTTGAGTCCCTACGTCAAACAAGTTCAAACTTAGTGCTACATCCTCAGATGCTTACAAAATATATATATAGATATATATGTATATATATACACACATACAGTAAAGCGGGATAAATCATCTCAGTTCACCTGCCTTAGGTAGATGAAACTCCAGCGCCCACACAGAAAAAAACCCAAATGACTTCTGATGGAGAGAGAGAAAACACAGGCACCTCTAAAAGAAATGAAACGCCCCCCTCTGTAACATTTAGCTTCTTCTGACTCCCTTTTTCAAAAAAAAAAAAAACAAGAGAAGAAACAAAAGCACCAAAAATGTATGACATCTCTGGTCAAGCTAAGCATGTAGTTCCCTCGAGGGCAGTGGAGGGAAGATGTTTTCACTACATGGAATGGACATTTATTCCAGGTTTTGTTTTGCTTTTTTACTGTTTTACTGTCCAGGCTTCATCTTATGACAAAAGGTGGAAGTTTTGTTGTGTGCTTGTCAGTTGGAACATAAAGGAAGCCAGTCAGCTGCCTGAACTCTGTGCAAAAATACTCCATTAGCAGGTAAAGTGTGGGAATATAAGACTCAAAGGGAACTCAGGAATGGATGAAAACAATCCCAACCTATTAATTACAGCAGACATTCCCTCTTTGCAAGTGTCTGAAATGCACTCAAGTGTTGGAGAGAAGATGACAGGTACACTTGCTGTAGATGGGCTCTCACAGGGCCTGGTTTGGGAGTAAACCATCAATCTGATGGGAAACAACGGGCAGGGATCAAGACGCAAGTCCACCGACATGGCACAGTGAATCTGTCCAGTGAGTGAAAACCAGTGTCCGCACTGAGTGCCTGTGTTTGAATCCTATAGGTAGGAGTCCATGGACGGGGCATAAGAAAAGCCCTCGAAGGCCTCGGCTGCCTCTTTGATGCTGGCAGTGGCGAGGACGCAGTCTGGGGAGCAGCCGATGGAGTTTGGAACCGGTTCATCCGTGAACTCCGGATCAAAGTGCCGCAAGTCGTTAGGACCCGTCTGCAAGAGAGAGAGAGGAAAAGAGAGGGAGAGGGGATTAGTGATGCGTTCCAGCACTTTGCCATAACTAGACATGCTCAGAATCACACAGCAGATGTTCCATGCCTTTGATCTCATTGCGTAAACACAAATAAGGGAGTAAATAAAGAAACTAGGTTTGGGCCGGTATGAAATTTTCACAATGGTGTCAAAGTGATAACACAAAATTCATGCAATTGAAAACAGCTTGGCAAGCAGCTTTTTGACTTGCACTCAAACAAGTGTATGATAGTCTCAGCCTCACAGCTTATCCATCTGTGTTTTCTGTAAGCAGTCACAATACCTAGCAGGGAAATTAGAAATTTTACTTGTGCGCAGAGCAAAAATTGTGGCCATCTTTCAGCCAGTTGGCTATTGGTAGCATGTGCAGGATGGAGAAAGCCGCATTACTGTATGTACCGAGAATAACTCTGACACCTTTTTCAAAGGACGTTAAACCATAGAAACAGCACGAGAAAAATGTGTTTTGCTGTATTGGAGCCATAACTGTTAAACACCTCAGTAACACCTCGATACCAGTAAACAGCCCATGCCTAATAGTCTACTAAATCAAAAAGCATTTTAATAATCTTACCACATTAGGGTTGAAGGGAGGTGTCATCTTCTTGGCATTAAGCTCATCCCAGTTGATAGGAGAAAAGAATATGTGGTTCTTGATTTCGATCTGAGGAAAACATTGAGGAAAAATACATTCAAAATTGTCCATCAACACGTATAAGCACATGGACAGAAAAACAAATGTATGAATACTCACAAAGTCCTCTGTGCAGCCCAGCCTCTTGGTGCGGTCTTTTTGTAGCAGACCCTCCAACAAGTGTCTGGCTGCATTGGAGATGTTGGGTTTCAGCTGCAGGGGCTTGTTCAGGATGTTGTCGTACATTTCTGCTGTGTTTCGGCTGTAGAACGGCGGCTGCAGAGGTGGCAAGGTGATAATATTCAATACCAGCTAAGCATTGTTTATGCGTTGAGTGTGTATTATCTAAAGGAGAGTCTTTGTAAGTATTAGGAGCTACTTACCAGGCCATACAGCATCTCATAAAGAACAGCTCCTAAGCACCACCAGTCTACTGTCCTGTCATATGGCTGCTTGTGTAGCACCTCTGGAGCCAAATACTACAAAGAAAAACAAAGGGATTGAACTCAAGCCATTGGCATAACAGCAGCAATAAAGACATACAAGTAAAAAAAAACCCAAAAAAACAATGTTTCCTTACCTCTGGCGTACCGCAGAATGTCGACGTGGTCCCGTTGGGTTCGATATTCTCCTTGCACAGGCCAAAATCTGTGAGGATAATGTGGCCCTGTGAATCCAGCAGGATGTTCTCTGGCTTCAGGTCTCTGTAGACGATATTGAGGGAGTGCAGGTATCCCAGTGCGCTCGCGATCTCTGCCGCATAAAACCTGGCTCTAGGCTCCAGGAAGAATCGCTCTCTCTGAAGGTGGTAGAACAGCTGCAACAACAAAAAATGGGGAGAGAAACAGATTTTAGTTTAATATTTGCTTTCCTGAAATTACAATGTCGAAATAAGAGGAAAAACAAGAAAGAAATCGATAGGAGAATTGACAGGAGAAAAGACCAATTTCAAAAAGAGAGGAAACTGGATGGAAGGAAATGAAAAGGCTGGAAGGTGACTAGCTTAAAAAGGTTTGACAGATGAAGCCAAAGGCAAAGGTGGAGAGAAAGAGAGAGAGAGACGGTGAGCTAGTGCAGCAGGATGAAGGAAAAGAGGAGAAAAAAAAGAAAGAGTAAATGTGCTCCACTTTCTGATGAGGTTCATATTTAATCAGCACTGTCTTTGCTTGTGCAACAATTGCAGGAAATTAGCTCCATTAGACACACACAGTCTCTGTGGCGCTGCTAATTTTGGAGCTGCGTTTCTCTCCCTGCTGTCCAAGCCCACCCCATGGTTTCCTGAGTGGTGGTTCCCCCCAGTAAAAAAGGAAAGAAAAATCTGCCGGATTTCCCCTGTGCCTCACCGGGATGAGAGTCATTCTCTAAAATCTGTTAACAGAATTCACCCTTTAAAATTTCGTTCTGATGGGATGTTATATTGTGTGGCTCCTTCCCTACTTCCACTATAAAATTTACTTAAAAATCTACCCAAGTAAAATGCATGCAAACTCTCTTCTCTACCATCTTTTAATTCAGTTTCCCTTAGGGATACATTTAAGCAGATCAACTCACCTCTCCTCCGTTGATGTAGTCCAAGATGAAGTAAAGTTTGTCTGCTGTTTGGAAAGAATAATGCAGGCCCACTAAGAATGGATGCTTGACATTCTTCAGCAATACATTCCTCTCTGACATGATGTGCTTCTCCTGAAAGGAAGACAAAAGAAAGCAGCAAGGCTTAGAGAGCTTTCTCACAAACACACCCAATGACGCACCGGCTGTTTATATGTGCGCATTTCTAAATACAAACATGTCATCACCTACCTCTTTTTTCTTGAGAATGGCCTTCTTCTGTAAAACTTTGACTGCATAAAACTGGTCATCTGTGCGGTGACGAGCAAGCAGCACCTTGCCGAAGCTGCCCTTGCCGATCACTTTGAGGAAGTGAAAGTCGCTGGGCTTGGCTGAAGGATTGGATGACGGGCCGAGGTTGATCTGCTGAGATGGACTGGGCTGTGAGGATACAAATGTGAACAGATGAAAGTTTAGTCAGAATGCTGCAGAAGATGCCCGCAAAAAAAAAAAAAAAGGCATCATTTTCTGCTAAGTGCAAGTGTATTACTCACAGGAGGAGAGGGGTTTGAGTTCATGAGCTCAGGGTCCTGTGGAGGAGTCAAGTTCAGGATCGACTGCACTTCAGGACTGGAAAAAAACAAAACAGAAAGTTTGAGCACAAGAGAAAACAACAATCAGTTGTTCAGAGACATCAAACACCTGATTTGGGAGTCTGGTTAGGTCAGAAAGTTCCACCAGAGGACAAACCACATGCTTTTCAGCTTTGAGTTTCCCAACGTTTTGTCCTCTGGTGGAGGCAGAACAATAACACGAGTCAGATGATACTCACTGCTTGCAGGCGTAGGAGTTGGTGGAGAGCTTCTGAATGAAGTCGTTCAGACCCATCCTCCTTTGTTTCATAAAAGCTGCAAATCAACAACAACAAGAAGAAGAAAAAATTACATAAGGCTTCAAGAATAAAAACTGATGAGGTTTCGAACTCCTCAAGTTGTAATCCGTACCAGTGACTAATTCCACAAGTCCTCTCGTCTTTGAGTAAGTCAAGGCAGGCTTCTCTGTTTCTGTTTTGATCGTCATGATGAGTGTTGAGATCCGCACCGCACTCATCAAAATCCAAAATACAAATTGTAACTGTACGCCGCCTCCCGGTTTTATATGGAGGCCTAAACAGGGAGGAGCTGGCCACGCCTGCTGGGAGGCGTGGAAACGCTCAGCTTTGGTAAGAACAGTCTGAGGTGATCGATTCCTTTTAGACCAATAGGGGGCATCTGCGCGCTGACGCGTCAGTGCCGCACCTTCTAGTGCGCTTGCGTCATTGGCGTTTAGGGAAAAAAAAAAAAAAAACAACTTACTAAACACAGCCAACTGGGACATTTCTGATTGCGCATAGATTTGTGCAATTCCATGACCTCTCTGGTTATGCAACGTTATAAGTGCGCACAAGCCGGCAGATGCAAAATAAAATCTCCCGCTGACATTTCAGTTTTAAAATACAAACTAGAATATAAATATTTGGGTTTGCATCAGTTTTGAATACTGTGTTTTTTTTTCTTTTTTCTTTTTAAAGTCCACCATACTAAGGCGACAAAAATACGGACACACACTTTTAATTGTAAGACAAAAAAGAAACAATTTGATCGGTTTTGCTGGCCTGGCTCTCCTCTGTGCCGTAGGGGCAACAAAAGAAGGTTAGGAGGGGAGAGAGAGGCTGAGCGGAGGGGAGGCCAGATGCCAAGAAAAGCCGCTGCTAGTGGAAAAGTACAGAGTGAGAAACTCCTGAACACCTCTCGTCTGAGAGGAAAAAAAACAATCCGCAACAGCTGCCCCTCAGAAAAGAATCACAGCGCTCCGAGAAGTCCATTAGAATGTGGTTAAAAGGGGAGAGAAACACAACTTTGCGCGAAGTTCCGAGCGTTCAGTGAGGAGCAGTTATTTGAAGCGCCTGGCTCAAGTTCAACCTACACCCCTCTGAGGAACGGGAGTGAACTCTACGTAAGACGATATCACCAAGACATTGCCAATTTCGGCCAAAGGAACAGATCGCCGTGCGTAAAATGGATAAAGACGCAGACGTCGAAACCGGCGGCGGACAGGTTTCACTGGAAACGTCACATCAAACAGCGGTGACAGATGTAGCCTTGAGTATTACAGTGAAGCATACAGGTCCCACATTTGGTAATAATAATAATAATAAAAACCTCAAACAAACCTTTAAGCTCCGAATGAGTTCTCATTCATGCTTTCCCTGCAGCAGCTCCAGAGTTCAACAAGTCAAAGGAGACAGCTGCCAAAGGCTGCCAAAGGCTGCCGAGGCACTGATAGCTACCGGACCCCCTATCAACGAGGAGTTTCCATAGATAACTGCATCATTAATCCAAATCGCCGAATAATGTTTAGCAACTCATGTCTGCTTGCGCTTCCCTTCTCTCATCCAGGCACAGAAAGCGGGTCAGGAGCTGTGAAGTACTTCATAGGCGAACAGATTGGTGATTTCCCCAGAAATAATGCTTTCATACTCACAGGTCAAAGAGGCCGTTTTGTCTTTCATAAGGATGCTTTTTAAACTCCCGGGTCACAACAACGGAGAGGCTGCGGGCTCCTCGGCAGCGATGAAATCGAGCTACAGCGCATTCCTCTTCTTGAAGAGCTTCTTTCAGCATTTTTTTTTTCATTTTAATCAGGGCGGAGACGCACCGCCTCTATTTCCTTCCATTCCACGGTTTTGTGTTTCACGGGTGGTTGCATGACTTTTCGCAAGGGAGGGGGTGAGATGAATGAATGGAGCCTTCGAATGCTTCTCGTGAGATCAACTGTCAAGTTCAACCCTCACAAAAAGCCGCAGCATCCCACCATTGTTTCATTAGAAAGTGAACAGGACAATTTTGAAGCCCCTATTTTCGCATTCTTTTAATAAATGACAAGAAACAAACAACAAAATGTCAATGAACGAGCAGAACGCCCAGATGGGGTTTGTTCAAACCAAATCAATAATCCAGCTTCAGCATCCTCATCTCACTTCAAATCCCATCCATCGCACAAAGAATGGGGAACAGTTCAAAACCGATTCCTTTAAACAGGAATTTTGTAGCGTATTAGTTATTAAACTCCAAAAATATTCGGATTTGTTTTTGGTGATTTAAGTTCTGCACGCAATACATAACAATGCACTATACTTCTTTCCATTATTTTGCTGTAAAAATCAGGCACAATATGTTCACAAACCCATGTTTCCCAGTACAGTGAGTGAAACTGGTTTAATGAGATAAAGAAGAGTCAGTAAAAGTTTATATGAGCTAGTTTCATCACATCTTCTGCACTGCATGACAACCACTTTGGACACTAGACCCAGTATATGTTATTGCTGTATTTATATCTGGGAAGCTGGGCACACCATATGTGAATAAAACCAATGCTGAACAAACTGGCTGTTTGCAAAGAGCTGTATCCAAGCACATGAATGAGTGAAAGAAAAAACTGAGTTTGAAAAACTATTGCACAAGCAATCACACAAGTGGCTAGTCCTATTCCTGAACCATTTGTGTTCAGAGATTAAAGTGAACAGAGGTGGAGTAGAAGTGGAGAGGCACATAATCCAAGCTAATTGAGGCCATGTCATTGGGAGCAAAGTTATCTGTGTGTGTTGTTCCAGTGTTTTATAGAGTATACACTTGGCAGGCAGGGAAAATGTTTTCATGTCCTCTTGTCTAGATAAGTTTAGGATGCACTCATATTTAATCAAGCCCTAATAAAATAAACACTTCCTTATATTTGTTTTCTTTTCAATAACATGGGTGGACATGACTTAAAACATTAATAATCAGTTCAAATATTTCTCTTTTCGCTCTTTAAAACCCTTTTAGTTGTCAAACCTCCCAATTTTCTATTCAGAAATCTGAACTTATTCAAATGAAATGCATGCAATCTGTACACAAATCACATTTGTTCAACTCTCCCAGTTTGTCAATGTAAGAATTTTTTTTTTTCTGCTTTAGAAAAACAGATCTTTCACCCAGCTTGTTTCTTCTCACCACTCCCAGCTGAGACTGTTCACACATGGACTGGACTCTGCTTTGGAAATTTACTGGCTTTGTGTTTGGCAGCTAACAAGGATTACCATTGATAATTATTAACCCTGTCTCCTGATAAAAGTGCTATTTTAATATTTTAGCTTTGTGCACACCCCAAATGTTTTCTAAGAATAGTGTTTGGAAGATTTTTTTTTTCAGGTGCGATGAAAAGAATGGAGAAAATAAATGTGTCATCCTTGTTTTCTTATGTTTGTTGTGATATGTGCATTTTAGTGATTGAATTTTCAATGACTGAAATGATCACAGCTAAAGCTGAGATATCGAAGCCAGGAACAAATGTATAAACCTTATTACTGTCCATTATTTGTTTTCGCTCACGTGTTTGTTTTTTTCCACTCTTCAATTAGTTCTTCAGACAGTAATATCACAAACGTAAAACTTGTATGAAGCCAAAAACAGGCCCGCTTTTGTGTCATTTAGAACCTAAAAGTTTTAAAGCCAAGGGAACATCCGTGTAGTGAAATTGCCAAAATCTCAGATGATAACTTTCACCCTCTGATGATTTATTAAAAGCAGTTCATGAAAGCCACTGTTCACAAAGTTGGAGAAGAAAATGTATGCTTTTGTGTCTCAGCTGCACTGTGCACAGTTATTTTTTTAAATGACAGACAAAGAGATCCAAAGACAGGCAAGCCATCAAAGCTAAATTATAGTTTAGAGGAAACTAATACGGATGGATTTTTTACAAATGACCCTTATTTTCTTCTTTTTTTTTTTGATGTCACTTCTTATTCAATAATTCAGGTCAAAGCTGCCATTAAACTGTCTACTGCAGACACCTGATGCACATAGACACAAATGAACAAAGCTGAGGGGCAAATAAAACCTGCAGGGAATCAAAAGCGCACACACAAAGAGAAGCTGGAGGACAAAGCACACCTGCAGAGAGACAACCGAGAATACATTTTTCCAAAGCAGTGACAGTGAAAGGGCATTCTTTCTAAACCCTTTCAAGGTGTCCTTCATGTCTCTTTCTCGCTGCACAGCCAGAAACTTTGCTACACTTTTATGCTGTTCAGTTTGACAAAGACATTTTTGCCTTGAGACAGCGCAGGTGGCAGCGGTGCCATCTTTCACTGCACAAGGAACAAAGACATCATCCTCACGGGACACAAAGTGAGATCAGCAAGGGTAAACAACACGTGCCGAGCAGCAAGTGTTCCTCTTTTTTTGAGAGAGAATAATAAAACTACCTGGAAAGCAAAGAAATAAGCAGTGACAAGGCCCTTTTTTCTTGGCAAAATTCTTTAGAAGAATACAGCTGAAGGTTAAAAAGGATGTTGAAGCAGACTCTACATTACCTCTCTTGGAGTAAATGTTCCTCTGTCGAGTTTGCATCTAAGGCTCAAATACCAAAGAACCGAATAAAACAAGAAGGAGGCGGCGGAAGAAGAGAGGGGGCGATTCCTCCCAGTGTTTTTCCTCTCTGGCTCTCATTTGTTTCTGAATTGACAGGCTGTTCAGTGCCCAGGCCCCAAACAAGTGGAGGCTCCACAACACTCAATCTGTGTATTATTTGTTACCCCTCTTTATATGTGTTCTTGGCACGAGTGGGTTATATAACCAAGTAGCGGTGGCAGTGTGTTCAAAGGCACTGACTCACACACTTTCCATAACACTCTGTGGGCCATTTTGCAGAAGGAGATAAAGGGTTTGCTTTGGTGCGGGACATGAGAACTGTAGTAAAAATCCCACTCACTATACTCACTCAGAATGTCCTCGTATTCACCCTGTCTGAGTCAGACGACATCTGTCCATCAAACCTTTGTGGTAATGACCCTTTTTCTGCCGAAGATAAAGAGGATGTTTGGGAATCAGACGCTCTGCTGATGAATGTGAATAAGCCTCAGTGATAGCATTACATAAAACCCTCTTATTCTAAAGGGGACAGCTAAGGCCTTATTGTATAAATGGACATACATACGCGGCCTACTTATCATCTCAGCTCCTTCGATTGGAAGCCGTGTGGGTCGGAGGTTTGCGGGTCTTTAAGAAATATTTGTTGGCATGTTTCTTGGAGGAGTATTACTGCTGCAAATATGCTTTAAAGTTCATGCTATGTTTCTTGAAATTAATGGATAGGTTAGAGTAAACATCCTTGGAGCATCTGAGCAATATTCAAAGCCTTGAACTTTATCACATCTTGTCACATTACAGTCACAAAGTTCAACATATGTAACTTTTTATGTGACAAACCAGCATAAAACAGTAAATAATTGCTCCATGGTTTTGACTTTTTTAACAAAGTAACATTTGAAAACTGTGCCATCCATTTGCACTTCAGAAGTCCATATTTAAGCATACTCATCAGTTTGAATGGCCTAGTCAAAGTCTAGGGGATGAAGGGATCAGAAGATTAGTGCATCCACACTACTCATCATTATTTCTAAGCAAAGAATGGAGATAGATTGAAATGTTATAAAGAATTGCTGACTTCTTGCCTCTTTTCCAATGGCAGGTCATGACATCATCATTAAACAAACAACCGCGTCTGACATGTTGAAACATTCACCTCAGAATGTTCAGTGTTCTTTAAAGGATTTATAAAGTATATGTATGTGCTATTATTTGTGAATATGTGCGTGCATTCGAGTAGGTGTGGCTGTTAAGCTGTCGAGACAGGCCAGTACAAGTGAGTTTTTTGTGAGAAGAAATTTGATGAGCCAACACACGCACACGCATGCACACTGTCAAATACAAAATGAATTACAGGTTAAATAATAGTGTCTGATAAAGAGCAGCACAACAGTTTGGAGTATAAATGCCGATTCATTGCACTGCAGCTAGAAGATAAACTTACTGTTGCTTTCACTAAGGGTCCTTTTAAGCTCTGTGTCACACACACACACACACACACGCACACACACGCGCGCGCGCACACATGTTTATATATTTTTTATTTATTTATTTATTTCACAGAATTTGTTTTTACAGAAAACAAATGTGTAAGATTATTCAGTCATAATTGTTGCCCCTAAATTCATTACCTGTTATAACCCTGTTATTTTTTTATGGTTCTGTTTTGCTCATACCGTTGCACTCATGACTAATTTGTTGTAAATGACTCAAATATGCAACACTGTACCTCT